ACGACGCAAATTTTGGTGATTTCAGGTTGTTGCTTTGCAAAGGACGGCTAAGAACTGTACAAAGTTTGAAAAGGCACGTGCTGGGCTATTGTTCTGCCAATTAGATCTATTGTTTTTCCACGTTCTCGTTGCCGTAGCCGTCGTGGTTTGCTTAAAGTCCCTAATGATCATTCTATACCGGCTATAAAGGTTCATACCTGTAATCGATTTGCCTCGTGTGATAGGCTAATCAGCTCATGAATTATTAATGAGTTTTTGAATGCTATATAATCAGTTAGAACTGATGTGGCCGAGGCAAAGAGGCTTCCGGAATATATTATGCACTCCGAGGCCAGATATGATGGTAGATAGCAAGAGATTACATATCAAATGTATGAAGAAAACCTCATATAAAATACGTAAGTGATTTCTATGTACGTGTCAGTTTTTCAACCATTTTCTTTTTCCTTGTGCTGAGAGGAGACTAATATATCACCGGCTTATTTGTTTTTCCGTGAACAGCAACCATCTCAAGCTTAACAAACAACAATTAAAATATTTTGGTAGCCGTAAATCTTTGCTACATTTTAAACTTTGTGAGCTAGAAACAAAGCATGCCAAATTAATTTCAAAGTTAACCGCTGAACAAAATTGCGGGCGCTATGTGATCAACGATGGCAGATTGTCCTTTTTATTTACATCAGGTTTCAGGGCATCAAATTATTCTTTTGCCACCAACACATACCATGTAAATCGATAAGTATTATGTAGTAGAAGACAAATAATTCTGATCGATCTTTCCGAGAGCTCTCAGCGAATTTAATATTTCGACAAGGCAGCAAAGCAAATCGAATCTGGTACTCTGTTGGCATAATGGCTACTCATCTAACAAATGATGTCAAGCCAAGAGTTGCAACTGTGGCACCCAAGAAACATGTATGTACCATCAAGTTTCTTGCCAGATTTCTTTTGTCAGAAGGTTCGACTACATGCGCCCTTGATGTTCATCATCAACTGTTGCGTTTCCTCGAGAATAATCCAAATATAAAAAAAAGTTCTCAAAAAGGGATTAACTTGCGCTATTCAAAGATTCTCTCCTCGTTCATGTTTAAACGATACTCTCTGGGAAATTTCTTGTAAATTTCAAGTTATTTTAAGCTAATAAAATAAAGATGTGGTTTACGGAATCATGGTACAGACCACGTCAGCACGAGTTAGGAAATCAGTTGCCTCAAAATCTTATTACTGATTTTGGAAGTCCAGTGATGGCTTTCACTGCCCTTGTAGGAATAATGATTAGAAGTGGTTGGTCATCGGACATATTGGGCCTCTTAAAATACCTTTATTTTTGGACTTTGTCAAAACCAGAAAGAGTCGTCTTTACTTAAGGGAGAGGTAAAGGAAGAAATGAAATAAAAAGTTAAAACAATTCAATGTTCTTGAAGTCTGATATATACAAACACAACCAGATTTTAATTTGTTGAAGGTCTTTATTTTCGAACATTGAAAATGCGGTTTAAGTTACTGCTAGCTCCGTTTTAAGCATTTATTTTTTCCTGTGCATTTAAAGTGAAAGAACTTCAAAATTTCTCGAAAAGTTTGTTAAACCCAGAGGCGCAGCCGAGTACTTAACAGGCTTTTCTCGTGTTCTCTCAACGTCGTGCCGGGTTTCTTAGCCGGTAAACTGAGAGACAATTTGGTTTATTGCTTAAATATGGAGATGAGATCAAGTATTTTTTCAACTTATTTTTTTAAACTTTACCTCCAGCTACTGCAAGATGTATTGTGAAACGATGAAATAACGCACGGGATAAGTACAGGCATGAACGAAATAAGATTGGCAATCATATTTCTTTAGCGAGTAGGGTGACCTATCTTTTTCTACAGTAGTTCTCGAGACAGAGCTTGGTATGAAATGTTCAAAAATATCGTTTGACAAATCTTATTTCTGAGGATTATCCCTAAGGGTAAACTTTGTACTCGAACCTATGGTAAAATTGAAGAACGCCTCCCCAGAATATCTGTCGGCCGACTGTCGGCCGACTGTTGTGCAATTTTTGTGAGTCTTTGAAAAAATTTACTCGTGCTTATTTATTCCAAACTCAGAAACGAGTAAATATACTGTCATCTTGGTGAGTTTGAACTTTCACAATTACCTCAAAATTAATTTTGACGAACACCACGCGATAGAGGAAAATTTCGAGTGCGAGAGTCTTAATCTGAATTTGTTTTTATTATGTCGGCCAACTGTAATTGTGAAAGTTCAAACTTACTAAGATGACTCCCCCCCCCTCAGCCGGGACTTTTCCCGGTTTTCCTCTGGCATGAAGCGACTAACAGTGTTACTCTTCCCCCCTGGATCCCTGATCCATTGCAAGGTTGCCCCCCAGCATTTCATTAGGCTTCCCTGACATTCGCCGGTACCCATACATACTCCTGAGTGGAGAGAGGCTCTATGGGAGTAAAGCCAAAAAACAGAACATATTGACCAGGTCAGGTGTTGAACCCAGACTCTAAACCCGGAGTCCAGTGCATTGACCATAAGGCCACTGGATCTCCAAAAATTACCCTTAAAAGGAAGTATTTATCTATTGTAAAAAAATGGCGGGACAACGCAAGGTTTAGCCGGTCAGATTTTTATATGATTACTTTTAAAAGGCCTACCAGTTTGGCTTGTTTAATTTGTGACGATGTGCTAGCCTTAGTCGAGTCGTCAGCAATGAAAGATATTGTAAAACGTTTGGTAGTCAATAAAGATTTCTCTTAAGGAAGAGCAAGAACATTCCTCTGATAATAAGGACCTTTCTTGAAGCCAGAGATTACGCCGTAAAAAAATGCAAATGTACCTCGCCCATATTCTCGAGTTTGTTAATGCTCTATCCGTTTAAAAATTGTAACTGGTGGATCAAGCCATATATCGACGCATACATTATTTGAAATGTCAAATCGCGATCAATGCCACAGTTAAATATTGTTTTGGTTGTGACAGATCCCATGCAGGCCTGTCACTGGCCCGCCTTACTCAAGGCCTTAGATTTGTTCGCAAGCGGAGAAATGCTCATGCCTCAGCACTAATGATAAAGGGCTGATCGCAGGCTATAAGGTGGAAAGCCAGTAATTTTCTAAGATTAACAAGTTTTGTTGAATACACTTCTTACTTAGCACACAGACGCTGCTCCTACACAAACAAAGCTGTTGGTTCCTCTGACGGAGCGATGGAGGGGCTGTAAGTGGGTCTTGATGGCCGCTTGTAAAATTTTCTATTATCATATGCTCCCAAAGTTTCATTTGCTATTGTTGTTGTTCTGTAAAAGAAAAGCGGCAAGGAAAACGACGCCTCGAAGCAACAGAATAGGAAATCAACCATGCGAACGACTCAAAATCCGTTTTTCCGCGGCAAAACCTAGCGCATGCGTATACGTTATTCAGCTCTGTCCTCTCAGCGTTTACGAGCGTTCAATCAAGGTTTTCCTCCTTTTTTTTCGGTTATTTTTACTTCAGAATGCGCGGAAATATGCTGAAATATCGAAAAATGTCCATTTCTCGTCTTCTTTGGAGCGACCTGATGGAACTTCATGGAGAAATTCAGCGTCACGCCATCGTGATAACGTACTTGTTTATGACAAATGTCCGGTGTTACGTGTTACGATAGTTTCGTGTAGATCAGTCGGCCAACTTTAACATGTTCCAAATGACAGACAAGTATAACGGTGTATCGTCAGAAGATTTCGGATGGCTCAAACTTTCATGAAAGAAGGTACAGTACTCGAAATCTGAATGATATGCACACGATTTAAGTTACTGGTTTGTAGTTACGTCGATCAATTTTTTTTAATATTAAAGCTAGAAGCGAGATTTCTCTTCGGGATATTGTTTAAAAGATAGCATTCTTTTAAAGTCTTGCACTTTTCATTTGTCTGAAACGTCTGTTGTTGAGAACATTAGATGTAAACATTGCCAATTCATGCAAAATCTGATTTTTGAGGTTCGTTCGTGAATTGCCACTATGAAAAGTAGAAGCCGACCCGCAGAGATTTTTACATATTTAAAAACTAGAATATTATAACTAAGTGCGTAGTTTCAGTTCCAGAATCGGTGTACTTTTGGAGAAATTTAGAGAAACGTTTTCCCTGTTTTACCCTACAGAAAAATGACCGAAACTGTACCAAGATAAGTAACCTATTGGTGTGTTCACATTCACTCCCAGGAAAAATTGAATGCATCAAAGTAAAGACGAACAATGTCACTATTTATGCTAGAAGTATCAATCTGTAATGTTGTATTTAGCTTGAGATAGAGAAATAAACATTTTACACTTTTTTGTGATGTTTTTGTATGAAAATAAGGCCCGAAACCTCGAAAAAGCAGTCGTTGTTACCATGGCAACATGAGTGCTGCAACCTTTAAAAAGGGCTTTTTTGTGCATCTCCCCTGAGTGCTTAACTGCATGCAAAATTTGAAGGGGGGTTGAAAATGTTCATTTCCTAAGATGTTTGATTCTTACAGAGACTCGTTCTTAAGTATTTCTTGAGTTACCTTTCAGAAAATAGCCATCCTCTGCTGGTTTGTCACAAAAGTCAGCCAAGTTACTTTCTCCATGTCTCAATGATAAAGTCTCAGCAGTAATCTCTCCTTCAGCTGCTATTATCTGAATAACACCTCCTGCTCCGCCAGCCAAAAAGTATCCAGGATAATCAGGGTATTGCCCTCTCCCTCCATCCACAATTAGTTTTCCTTTTTCTTGAATAATTACCTTTAATTAATCATATCAGAGTTTTTGTTGGGTTTCAACACTAGACAAAGCAGAAAATACTACGGAAAATTTAAAATTGAATTACATGTATCTTAAGCATCTAATAATAATTATTTGATACAAAACTGAACCCCATCATCGATCAGTAACTACACCTGATTCTTTGAAATTCAGGCTACTGACCTTAGATGCATTAAGGCGAATGAGTCCTCCTGAGCCCCCAGAACATGCTCCTGTACTGTGAGCTTGGGCTTCAGCTCTAATAGGTGCATCTAGAATGGAATAAATGTCATATTTTCGATTAACGCCATTTAAACAAATATAACCCTTAATTTCAGTAACTAGGAAGAGGAATCGTTTCCTAAATCTTAAACTTCAAGATACATATAGAAAGTCTACAGCCTGAACATCTTTAGCGTCAAAATAAGATTTTCGTAAATCTCGAGACTGATATTCGTTGAGTCCGATACTACCATGAACTATAAGTGTACCGAGTACTATGCAACCGTGATCATTTTGCTTCCTGTAAAGTGTTTTTCTCCTAAAGATTACGTGTTCATGTTGAGTCAGCTACTTAAATGAAAAAGAAAGCGACACCGTCCAGTTCTTTTGAAATAACCGAGCACTTCGTCTGAATATCTGCGGATGATTCTTTAAAAAAAAAGAAATAACTTTACCACGTAAGTTTCATGGGAACTACATCGATTGATTGACGGATAAAAGATTCAACTTATCTTGCTAACACCCTTGGACGTGGTCTTATCATTGTCGGACCATAAAAATTTTTGTAAGTATTAAATTAAGTCAATTCTTACTAATTATAACTATCTATCTGCAGCTTTCGACAAAATAGAGATGTTATTCGGGGAATAACAAAGCAAGTTCATCACCTAAGATTATCTCTCCATTATCAGCCACAAGTTCTATGGCTCCTCCACCAGAAACGTCTCCTGGTTTTACCAAGCATGAACCTGAATAAAAAAAGAAGAAATTAATCATTCGTCGGATAACAACAATGCATGCGCTTTTTGGGCGGGATGTATCAGGCAGCCAAGCATTTTCGGCTTCTTAACAGGACTGAAACTTTTCTTTGATTTGATTCAGTTTAATGATCGAGATACTCGCTTCTGTTTCCGAGCTTGTCGCATGGAAATCTTTGTGACAAGCCAAGTAAATATCTCGACTATTATGTAATAGATACGAGAAATAGTGATATCTGCGACAATTCATAGGTTACATGGATGTACTTGCCATGATTTCAGTATTCTTCTCTATTTAAACAGTTGCCTCAATAATGATAATCTCACCTCCACTTCCTCCTAACAGAGAGGCTGTGCTGTTTTTGTCATACGGTTCAGGCAATACAAAGATTTTCGGGCTATCCTTAGCTTTTCCTCCATTTCCTCCATGACTTGCGCCTGGTATACATTTACTACTCAGTTCGATTTTCCTATCAAATATCTTTAATCCCCCAGGTCCAAGTCCTAGCAATGAGTAAATCACCAATTAAAACTCCATTTCAAAAGATGTAAATCATCATCACTTGCAAAATGTGAGCATAAAAAACTTGTAATGTGGGAGAATGGGCCCGAGGGCTGCTGGGGAATAATTTCATGCCTATTCTTTGACCCTCCTATGTTTATCACGAAATTTCCCGGTTCGAAAAAGTAACGAGGGAAACTCGTAGACACATAAACAAATAAAGGGGAAAATATCTATTCATAAGTGAATAATGAAAATACTAATGATAATAATGACGATCGCAAACTTTATACATCCGTGAAAAAACACACAACAGTAATACCAAGTTATAAACCAGTGGCCCTCGTAAATAATAAATTGTTCAAAACCTAAAAACTACCAATGTTAAAAATATAACAGAGATAATATAAAAGAACAGCTTCAAATATGTAAGGGTACAACTATTAATAAAAATAAATTTAAATCTATAAATCTATTGAAAAAGAATTGAATTACAAGATAAAATAGTCTGAGTGCCTACAGCCGTCTATGAACGTTCAGACATGGACTTCTTAGAGCTAGCTGTTGGAAAAACATTTCTCAGCACGTAAGGGTTTTTTCATTTTCGTTCGTACTCTTCACCACTGATTTTCTTTCCTCGGCTTGACGAAAAAAATAAGGCTCTGTTTTCCTTTGTAAAATATAGCTTTCAGATTGCTTATATATGGTTCATCTTTTTGCCCGCTGTGAAAAGATGCTGGTCCAGTGGTCGTTAATTCTTAAGAGCGAACGTTATCTACGGTCAAACATTTGGTGGCAACAACCAAAAAATTGATTCGGCTCATATTCTCAAGTTGGGTAGGCCTTATAGTGAAACAAAGCACTGCATACTTCGTTTGGCTGAATATCGATTTATTTTCGAGAAAATAGATAACAACTGAATTTCGCCAAAATGCCGCTTTTGAAGCTCAAAATTTCAGACGAATCTTGGAGTGTCGCGCCAAGAATTGGACCAATAAAAAGTACCAAATCTTGAAAAACAACATCAGTACATGTGTTGACAGCTATTTGAGCAATTCTTGATTGCTTATTTACACAATCTAGTTGAATTTATCCGACCTTCATCTTACAAGATTAAAAATAGGTCAAAAGTAACCCGTTATTTAACTATGTGGTAAATAAAATAATCGACTGAAAATCTGGCTTTTTGAAGGCGAAGTGTGGTTCTTTTCGATCTCCTAAGGATTTTTTGGGGTAATGATTCTGTGCGATTTAATGAAACTTTAAAGTTGGATAAAATGAGCTGATTTGACGGTACAGTCACTTATTCGAAAATGTACACATTCACACGCAAACTCAATTGTTTCACATTTTACATCCAGTCTACAGCTTATTTAACATAATATCATCTTACTGTCCAT